AAAAACCCGATTTATCTTGACATAGAGTTTCGTTTCCTTCAAATATACCAGCTCAAGTGCACAGAAAAAATCCATCAATGTTGGCGCAGTTTCAATATGGATGACAGTCTTCAAGGGATAGGGAACATTCATCTATTTCCAGACATTTATAACAGGTAAATGGCATTAACACTTTACAAACGTAGCACTATGAAATAATAGTTTTATTACCTTCGTAGCATACGTTTTTACCTCTTTATTTTTACTCGACATTTCTTTTTACTCGATCATTCTAATTGAATTGATGTTAGAAGATGAGAATTGTATAATTACCTACGCAAACAGTTCCATTTCCAGTATATCCACTGTCACACGTGCAGACAAAAGACCCGCCAATGTTGGTACAAGAAGCGTTAGTATGGCAGTTGTCTATCGATAGAGAACATTCATTGATATCTAAAAATGAAACATATTGGTTGACGACTTATTCAGTATACCAAAAACCAAATGGAAATCTTCATTTTTATTCATACTATATGAGGGAAGTAACAATCGATAATTAGCTAGTTCGTTTAGTTCTGTTGGTTGACAAAGTATTGAATTTCACTTCAATCATAGTAAGCAATAAGCCCCCCCCCCCCCCTTCTCACGAACACCTCTGATATTATTCCAAATTTTGAAATACATATTTAAAAATTTAAAATATATTTAAATGACAAGTGTGTAAACATTATTATAAATTACAAGAGTGTGTGAATTATACTGGCTTCGGAAGGATGCTAAATAAAAAATTGCTAATTATTCTTAGAACGATCTTACAAGCAATATGTTGAACCTAATAGGAACTTTTCATATATAGCAAAGATTAACATGTGTTAAAACCTTGTATACCCTTTCATTTCACTAATTGGAATTCAACTTTTGGTATGCGGCAATTTTGGAATTTGGAATGCACACAATTTATAACACCGGTTGGATAAATGCGCTATTATGTAAAGTGACTAAAAGTGATAAAGTATTATCTTTATGAGGGCAAAGTTATTTGGTTTAGACAGGGAAGACGACCTGTTGACTGTCATAATGATCGCACTATGATTGTAATGTCTACGGATTACCAAGTACTACTCACCAGAGCAAAATACACCATTTCCCGAATAACCATGGTTACATCTGCACAAAAAACTCCCATTGGTGTTAATACATTGAGAATTATTAGCACAGTTGTCCAGTCCTAGGGAACATTCATCCACATCTATATTGAATAATCATACGCAGAAAAATACATAAGTAAGCATTTGTTTCATACCTTTTCGAAAGTTAACTTGTTTCACTGTGGTAGACATTGCGTGTATCATTACCAATTATTCTCTGTGGTAGTATAATAACGTTATCATTTCGAATGCCTAACTCTTCAAGTGGCAACAAGCAATGAGACGCCCAACTTTATTATTTTGCTCTGTCTAAAGGCTGACAGACGTTACTATAGTCAAAAATGAAGTGCTTTTACACATTGTGAGTGCCAGATAGTTTCATGCGAATGGTTGAAAACAATTTGCGAGCTTAGGCAAGCGATGTTCTAGTCAACACGGACGTAGAAATCTTTTATGTTTTGTCATATGTGTTCTTCAAGATTGCCACAAACTGATACAAACTCAGTTTGTAATGACGTCCGTGTTGACAAAAACGTCGCTTGCCTACGCTCGAAAATATTACAATTTTACCGATTGAATAACATTCGACTCCTGCGTCCTCAGAATGCGCGCAATTATAATCTCCCCATCCCTTGTGAGAACAATTGATTAAATTTTGTTCATGTCCAGTACAAGAAACATCATCCAACCATATCTGGCCAGTTCCGTCAGGAACATTGCTACCTTGAAGAGCTTTAACAGCGGATATAAATCCCAGTTGACGACATACAACCGTAGCATCATTTATATCCCAGCCATCATCGCATACTGTTCCCCATCTTCCATTGTAGAATACTTCCACTCGACCAGCACCATTGGAACTTGATGGTCCTTGTAACCTGACATTTACACCTGTAAAAATTGTACAATTTAAATTAAAGGGTAGCCCGACTGAAAAGTGAAAACATAAAATACTTAATATAATGGGCCTATTCCCCCAACAGATCTGACACAATGCATGGCTGTAGTTGGGTACCAAATTCGTTATGTCAGGGTAATTGTTGTTGTCCTGGAAAAATTCTTGAAAAAGAGAAAATGATACATGCTTTATCCCAAATGTTTTCCGATTGTTGTAGCTTTGACGGCTGTGAATGATGAGAATCAGCAAAGAATACGAGTTCATATTCCAAAAAATATGCATTTCAAGAAATTTTTATTTTTCTGCTGAAGCTTCCGCCACATTTTAACTAATTTTTTATGTAGCTAACTCCATCGTTTTTGTTAGGGACCACCAACCATTAATTACAAAGTGAACAGCCGGGCATTTTCTTTATTACAAAATATCATGGAGTAATGCTTCCTCTCGGTTGGACAACCGTCTCTTGTTTTCGTATCAACATTTCATGAATGCGACTACATTCCTACGCGGCTACTGCAGCTAAAATATCCCATCATAATTATGTGCTAATTACGACACAATACAGTCCTCATTTTTTTATTATTTAACAAGTTATGACAGGAAATTTGATCATTGCACATTTTACATTTTATTACTGGACATTTAACATTCATCACAACAAAGGTTGGTCATCACAGCTTCAAACTAAAAATAGGTACTATAGGAATAAAATTGAAAGTAAAATAGGGTTAAAATAGAGTTGATTTTCGGAAGGAGTGCTCCTGCAACTCCTGCAAAGTTCCCGACGTAAGCCCGGGGCGAGGGTACTAATTCCGCCCGGCTATTTACACCGGGGAAACGAAAGCATTAGCAAAGTCTAAAGTTCATCAATGACCGCGTGTGTGGGTCACCAACGAAGTTTCGTAGGTGGTCATCCTTACTGATCTCAAAAACATGGCGGACTGTCATGAATAGCGGACACTGATTGGTCAAATTTAAAGTTTACATTATAACGACTGCATGACGATAGCGAAATAGCAAACATTTCTTGATTTGATCATTGACAAATGATTATTTCTTGCACGATTTTGTGAATTTCAAAAGCTTTTAAAGAAAAAAAAGGCGAAAGATATACTAAAAGAATGGAGTAAATGCACCGATGTTAACGAAGGTTGGTATTCAAATATTGATGTATTCTTTCCTTTATAACAGCTTTGAAGCTTATCGTTACGCATACTTGTATTAGAGTTGTGCAAATCCGATCCGAAGACGATCCGAAGACGATCCGAATCAGATCCGATTGGATTCGTTCGGATTTCGGAACGAAAATATTCATTTCGGATCGGGTCGGATTGATAAAGTTGTTTCGTAGTCGGAACGGACTTCGATATCCGAAATAATATGAATTAATTATCCATGCATTATCGTAAGAATTCATTATACATGCATTTATTAAAGCATTATCGCGGTTGTCGCTGCATTATTCGTTTGCTACTTCAATTGGACGTCACTTTGTCAACTTCTTGACATGTATTTCTTGCTTTTATATTTATTTAGTTAAATATTTCAACTTGAATGAGAAGTTTATTTTATTAAAGAACTCTTCGGATCGGATCCGATTGGAATTCTTAATCGAAACTCGGATCTGATCAGATTCGGATTAGACAATTTCGGATCGGATTTTAAACTTTATGTAATTGTCGGATTATAAACGTCCAATCCGATCCAATGCACACCTCTAATTTGTATAGGTAATAGCATGGTTTCGAGTGCAATTTGGATATAAAATGCACGAGTGCGCTTTTCAAAGACATCAAAATAGCACGACTCACGAGTCCGAAGGAAGAGTGCTATTTGAGGTCTTTGAAAAACTCACGAGTGCATGTTTATTCAAATTTCACGTGAAACCATGCTATTACTTTTTAATAGTTCACATAAAAATTAAAAATATTCGAGACAATTGTAGTTTTAACGTACGCGTTTATACCGGACATTCCACTGGCAAAGTTTTCCATGCACTCAACTATGTAATTTTTGTTAGTCTTGTTTAAGGTAAATGCATTTCCATTTAAAAATAAAGATAAAAGCCATATTTTCCACGCGAAGGCAACTTTTACTTTGTGTAGCGCGGCGCCATGTTTGTTCTGTTTTGAAGCAATCTGTGACCGGCTTCGTTGCTTCGTTAAACTAAATTGCTTTAAACTGATTGGTTGATTTAATCATCACAATGTTTTCCCACCAGTCAGATCAGTTTGTTACAGATTTTTGCACTGTTGTTACAGATTTTTGCAGAGTTGTTACAGATTTTTGCACTGCTGCTTGGGATTAAATGCACTGAAACCAACCAATCACAGTCACGTAATATTTCTATGTATATTATTATAAATGAAAGAACAGCATATAATTTCAGTGTTTCTTTATTGATTAAACTTTTTTATTATACTGAAAGAGAAAGCAACGCTGTTTGAACGCGAGAATTTGAAATCACTTTATTTCAAACTCAAAGTTTTCCGATAAAGCCGTTAAAGGCAGTTCAGTGTTATAAAGAACATTTTAAAACGTCGACGTCTTGCGAAGTATTTAAGGTTGAAATTTTCTTTACATGTTAATTTGCGCAGTATAAATATTAAATATTATTTATTATTATTATAATTAAATTGAAACTTATATTAATTGCAATAACATATTTAACATATATAAGTCTGGGGAATTGAAAATTTTGTAATTACTAATTGAAAGTGATATTTTTAAGCTACGTTTACACGCTACGATTAATCGCGTACAATTCGTATTATGGCGAATTAAAATGAACGCTGGCGCAATAATTTATTGCCGTTTCGGTAAAAAGAAATTTCAAATGTAGCCAGCTTACGCATGCATGTTTACTCAATGACATACGCCAGAAAACGAATCGTACACAATTAACCGCAGCGCGTAAACGTAGCTTTAGGGGATTTTTCAATATTCAGTAAAAATATTCTTAACAAAATTATCGTGTTACTGTGACAACTACTTTAAATACTTCTAGTTCGAAAAATACAATGGTTTTGTCAGCAAGGCGAGGGGTTTCTGCATGCATGTGTTCTCTAGTCTGCCAATGAATCTTGCTAACTTTTTAAGTGGCCATGGGCCATGAGACGCGCAACTATTATTACTAATTATTATTATTTTGCTCTTTCCAAAGGCAAACGACTTCACTAGTCAAGAGGAGCGTGCTCCTGCACAACGTGAGTGCCATAGTTTTACGCGTGTCGTTAAAAGCAATGTTATAATTTTACCTGTTAACGCTGCAAAACATTGTACACCTGCATCCTCAGAATGTCCGCAATTATGGCTTCCCCATCCGTTATGAGAGCAATTAATTAGACTTTGTTCACTCCCAGTACATCCGACATCATCTAACCATATCTGTCCAGTTCCATCAGGAACGTCACGCCCGTGAAGAGCTTTAGCCGCATATGGATAACCAAGTGCACGACATACAACCTTAGCATCATACATATCCCAACTATCATCACATACTGTTCCCCATCGTCCATTGTAGAATACTTCCACACGGCCAGTACCATTGGAAGCTGACGGTCCCAATAACCGGACAACTTTGGATTTCTCTGTGACAATTAGAACAAATATTTGACAAATGACACAAATGCCAGACATCCGTGCAGCGCTGATTTATGATTTCAATTATTAAATTAGGGCATTCCTGTAATAGAAACAAATAAAATGAACCAGGTCTAATTCCTATTGCTTTTCGCAAAAATGTAGCTCGATTAGGTAGAGTCTTCTTTCTTTTTTTAAATGATCTTTATAACTGCTCATGTGTCAAAGTGATATTCTTTTATACTTCAGCACAGAAAAAAGATCAGAATAATTTTGTCATTAGTCGGATTGAATCGCGGGTCGGAGTTTTGGACGGATATGTGAGATTCGGTCGTTTTGAGATTGTGATTGTCGAACAAGAGAGTAATGCGCTTTGTATTTTTATTCCATACACGTACTCGTCCATTTTTATGATATATTACAATAACATGAGAAAATATGTTTTAATGTGCTGTTTCACTCAAGTTTTTCTGGTGGCCTTAATGTTAAAAGGCTTTTTATTTATATTATATTGAATTGAAGTTGTACAGAAATTAACCGAAGAAGTAAAACTTGCATAGCAATGAGGTGGTTTGGTGTAACACGAGTAATTGCGAACAGGTGTTACAAGACTTCATTTCTTACACGATTTCAACCGGTACCTGCAGCTAATTTCAGAACCATCCTCAGAGATACGAAAAACTAGTTTCATATTAATCTGACACTGCAATCTACACCTTTTAAACAATCAAATCTACACCTTTTAAACAATCAAATCTACTAAAAATAGACGAGGAATTGGTTTGGAAAGGTCCGTATGAAAGTCTGAAACTGTTTGTAAAATCCGACTTGGGCATTGACGGTCAATGGAAATCTACTGGCGGAGAAGTAAAGAAATTCACGAGTAAAAGCTATACGTTGAAGTGGCACGGTAAAACAAAGCAGAAGCTCGTTGTAATTCAAGATGATGAGAATGAAAGCCTTCAAGAGAAACTTGTGAAATCTGCCACGTTGG